TGGGATAGCTTAAAATCCAATTAAAATTGAAAATATAGCCGTTATTGGGTCTCACTCGTCTAATAAAAGTCAACAATAACGGCTAGTTTTTCAATTTTAATCCGATTTTAATCTCTACTAAACACGTCCTTAATCTTACACCACTGCTCAAGACTTTAGTGGACGACTCTATTACATGGGACCCTGAGGATCCAACGCCACATATCGTTACTTAAAGGTGCCATGTAGAATTTAATATGTTACTCCTCGCGTCGATGAGTTTCAAGTCATAACCCACGTGGTTGAAGTCAAAACTTGACCGTAGCCCATGAAGGCCCATAAAAGAGGCCCAAAACGAATCAATGAGAAAAAGTCCAACAGTCGAAGCCTTTTTACATACGAATTCCTAAGCCATATGACATTATTCTGAATCGTCCACTACGAACAAAGCCCTGCTCTTCGAAGCCTTTCTTGCTAAAACATCACTAGCTATAAGGAGCTTCGGATCAAAGGTAGCCCCCGAGGGAAATCCCACTGAAGATCTGCTGAAGCGATTGATGTAACAAGTATCAGATTAATCATACAAAATAGGGTTGTAGGATGGCTCTTCTCAGAGCCCTTATGTGTACAATCCAGCATAGTTGATATGGCTGACGAAATTGTGAAGCTTAAAAATTTCTCAAATGGTAGTACTCTGTGTATCCGAAAAGTCCTCAATTCTGTTTCATTTCTTCGTTATACTTCGTAGTTGGTAAGTCTTATGGGGTCAGTTCTCCTAATTTTATCGTTGCAGTAATAACAGTTTTTAAGGGAAAGATTGCAGAGATTGAGCTACTACTTGCTTAAGTTGATATAATTATTTGAGTGGATAGGATATTTTCTAGTCTTTGAAAACACGTTGAATACTGTGTTGCGTAATAATTTTATTTGTTCTAAATTGTCTTGTTCTTTTTTTGGTCAAAACTGCATAGACATCTTTTTTTGGTCAAAACTGAAGAGTGTCGCCTTCGCTTTTATGTACGTTCAATTGTATTTCTATCTTCTCAATTTCAACATTGCCATTTGTTAATTTTTTTAACATTCTTTTCTTTCTCCTTCCATTGAAGAAAAGAAAGGTTTGTGTATCATGTACTTACTTCAAAAACTGATCATTTGCTAATGTTTTCTAGCGTGTGTTTTGTTTATTGTGTTACAATAAGGTCACATGTTTTCTTTCATTTTAATTACAGTGTCACATGTTTTCTTTCATTTTAATCTTAATGTTACTTCAATATTATCCTATTAAGTTTGACTAATTATTATGTCAATTACTATAAGATTTATGTGAAAACTTACTAAACTTTTAGAATAGTTTAACTTCTCATTAATATTCGACACTAACATAACCTTCAAAAATATCATGCACGGGCTTTCACTAGTTTTGTGAAAAAAATGTTTTTCAGGAATTCCATCGGACCGTAGCGTTTGATTTTTGCAGGCAAGCAACTTGAAGATGGCCGCACTCTCGCCGATTACAACTGTTGGTCCCAGAGTTCACAAAGAACACAAAAATAACCAAGTAAAGTGCAAGAAATAATGAAACAACACGAAGGATTTTTCACCCAAAAGG